AAAAAAAACCAACCTACATTAATAAGAATTTGCCGAGAATTTGGCATAAAAAAATATGCAGTTTTTAACTTTTTTTAATTCTAAGAAGAAGAAAATGTTTATGAATTTGTTTTCTAAAAATAGTACAAAATCACCAAATTAATAATTGACACTTTAAGAATACTGACATGGATGGTAAGCAATACAGTAGCCAGTTTCAACTTTTCAAATTTAAATATGCAAAATAACGAAATGAAAAAATTATCACTTTAAACAAAGACAATTCAACTGTGTTTGAGAACCATCAAACAGTTTTAGCTTTAATAAAAATTAAACTGATTAAACCTTCACTTTACCCTTACCCGTATTAAAATTTTGTTTCACCTTATACAGTTATTGATCAAATCAAACAAAAAAACTCAACTAATTTTTAGCAGCTAAATAATTTTAAAAAATTACTGATATAAAAACAGAAGAACAACATTAAATGAAAAGAATGTCATGAAAATAATTGGTGATAAAAAAATTTATTTTATTTGTAGACTGCACCACTCTCAGTTTCAAGCTCAAACAGCAAACATTAGCGAAAGCTTTGGCCAGTTTGACGACAACCGTTCCACAATTGCTTTGTGTGTAACGCTTAGACGTGGAGTGCCGGCACATCGTTCACAGTCACTACTCGACCTTTCAACTTCAAGCTGTGAAAAGGAACCGACTGTTTCACTCTCAGATTTGGTCACAACATTTCCAAAAAAACCAGCTATTTCTGTCATGGACCTGAAGACAGACTTATCATCTGATATTCAAAGACATTTCAAAACATCAAATTCAGATAATTCTGAAGACACCAGCTCAATTTATTACTCTTGTGAAGAGCAATCAGATGAACAACTGCTTAGTTCAGGAAGTGACGACAACACCATTCAGCGAAGACCAAAGTTCAAGAGTAATACTAATGATTGTAACAGCGAAGGTAATGTCTAAATACATTTGAACATTTTGTTTTTGTTGAAAGAAACAAAAAATTAACTATTTCCCTTCAAGACGGCCAAACAGATGTAAGCAAGTTTAGGACATAGTGAAAAAACAGAAAACGAATATTTGAGGAAAAGGTGGCAACCAGATGAAAACAAAACTACGTCTGATTTCTCTCCAGCAAATAATGTGCTTAAACCCAAAAGTTTCAAGCCGTATTCTGAAGAGTATGAAGTCGATAACGAGAAAGCAAAGATTGAGGTTTAGAGTTTTAAGTTGTTGTTGTGTCGTGTTGTTTCTTTTTTTTTCTTGTTGTGTCGTGTTGTTTCTTTCTAAACCATATTCTTCAAATATTATGTACCCTATATTTGTATTTAAAAAAATCTTTGTTTTTGAATACCGAAGTAATTAAACCAAATTTTTAAGGCAGAAAATTCATTGGCAAACAGAAACGGATATCAAGCGGAAGTTTATAGACAAAACGACAAGTTGTTGTACAAGGATGACAAACACACGTATACTGCTATTGATAAAAAAATGTCTGATACAAAAGGCAGAGTTGCAGCTGAACAACCAACTCTTTTCAACGACAAGCAGTTTCAGATTCAAAATGTAGAAACAACTGGTTCACCTGAGAAAATACGAAATTTTACTGAAGAATCTGTTACAAACGAAGAAAGATTTCGTGAAACAATGTATCAAAAAGACAGTCATAAAAGTGGTCATTCTTTGGCAGAGGAAAAGATTAACAGCACTGAACAAGAAACTCTGTTGTATACAGATGATAAACATATTTATGCATCTGTAGCTGACGATGATAATCAACAGGACGATTACTATAAGGATGATGAGCATCTGTACGACATTGTGGCAGACGATGTTGGCGTGAAAAGATCGGAGGCTGAAACAATACAAATTTCACATTTAGATAATAGTCATTTTGGAAATGATTGGACCGAAGATTTGGAAACATCCAAATACGATAAAGCTGCCGATAGAAAACCCAATGTGCTACAACAGAGAGATGCTGATATTTTTGGTAATGGCAAAGATACCAACAGCAAACTCTATGAGGACGATGAGAATATATATGCAGAAATTGATGACTATAATGGGGAACACCATCAGTCAGCTGCTAATAAGCATATGAAACAGGCTTCGGGACTGCATGTACAAAGAGCTAAAAGCCTGGCTAACCAGAAAGCGGTAAATGAAACGTTGTCCAAAGCTGACAGTATCTTAAGAAAGGTTCTTTTATTCATTACCTATTTGTAAGATGAATAAAAAAATGCTAAAAATTGCTAAAAGTGTACTTTTGAAGATACTTTTTGAAGATATAACAGTTAGAAAAACAAACAGTGTTTAACACTTGACTAGTCTGAACTTAAATTAGATGATGATCTGCAGGCGTAAATTATTACATTCAAAAAAACAATTTTTTCTTTACTTATGTTTCATTCGTCATCCTTCTTTAATTCCTTCATAATATGTAAAGTGATTATTCTTCAAGTTTTTTGAACCTGATGTAAAGCATTTTTTTTAAGTCGGAATTTTTATAGATTTTCTATTACTTTGATAAACTAATTTGCCCTTTTGTTTATAACTGTCTTTAGTTTCATGCAGTTTTCTTTCTTTAGAAAACTTTTTTTTGTTCTAAGACTTTCATTCAAATGACATACTTGCTTAAACACCTTCTCAATTAGACAATTACACTCTTTGTTCATTTTAAGCCATTAGTAAAAAAGCTGTTATGTAATTTTCTTGATTTATGTCTAGCTTATTTGAACTGTCGTCGTATTGGATGCTGTGAAAAGCGGTGCTCAAGAATGAACGTTGTTTGGAGCAGTAATTGTGAGATTTAGCAATGCTGACCAACCAGAAAAAATAATTAGTCTAAAAATGATCAATGCTGAAGCGGTGTTTAAAACGATGTTTTTTAACTTGTAAATGAATCAATTTGATGTAGCGGGGGAAAAGGTGAACTGATGGAGGAAAAAAAGGAGGAGCACCGGAATAGAAATAGGAGTAAAATATTGGAAAATCTTATCATCATCTATCGAAATTTCTTGGTTCATTCTCAGCGTTTTCTAATTTTTTTTTTTTTTGCTTCCAACATTCTCTAATATTCACATCAGACTGCTGGCTGCCGCTACTGTCTCTCTGACGTGAGAACTTTAGAAAACAAGGTATATATACTTTTTTTTGTAAATATATATCTACATATATACATATATATGTATATATATATATGCTTGTACTTTTGTGTGTATTTTTGTTTTAAGAATGCTTTATCAGCAACAGTTTATAATATACCTGTCTTAAAAAAAAAAAAAAAAAAAAACTCTAATATGAAAGGGTTGTTAATGATTGTTGAATGAAGCCTTTTT